TTGTGCATTTATTCTTGATACATATAATTCTAAATACTACACTGGCGTCGCGATGGAACTTGTAATGGAACAGCTAGATATTCATTCTACTTCTGATGCTTTTGAAGATTATTTGGAAAGGTTTGAAATTTGGAGTATGACCAGGAAAGATGTCAAAGATGATAAAATTGTGGCTCATTTCCTAACATTCATCGGAAAAGAAGCGTACAGCTTATTGAAAACCTTGGCATATCCAGAAAAACCTATTTCACTTCCCTATGCAATGCTTAAGGAGTTATTATTGAATCATGTAAAGTGCCCTGGTTTTGAATGCCGTGAAAGAGCGAAATTTCATAAGATGATTCGTCAAAATGACCAAAATGTTAAGGAATTTATTCTTGAATTGCAGAAACAGGCTGTCAAATGTAAGTTTGGTGATCAACTTCATGTGCAGCTGAGAGACCGATTAATTGCAGGAATTAACATACCTAGTTTGGAAAGAGAGCTGTTAAGAATGTCAAACTGTTCCTTTCAAGATGTTAGAACTGCGTGCATTAACTACGAGGCGTTGAATGAACTTGATATTCAGTCGATGAAGATTTCCAATACTTTGATTAGTTGTCATGATGAAAACAATCTCAGGGTCAATCAAAATTGTGTTCGTTTAACAAAGGTTCCGATTCTCGTGTAAAAATGAACGGTGTCTCAAAAAAGAATTACAAAGGAAATCAAAAAGGTGAGACCAAGTTTGGCAAATGTTTATCATGTGGAAAACTTCATTCTCGTTATTATTGTACATTTCGTAATGCTAAATGTTTTAGATGTGGTAAGATAGGACACATTCAAGCAGTATGCAAAGCTACTGTTCATTTTGCCTCAAGTAGTACTAAAGCTTGTAATTTAGATCCCAATAATTCAGTTGATCCTAATGATCATTTATCTTTGTCTACCATTTCGAAAGGTAATGCTCATATTCAAAAGCGACTATATACATCGCTTGGTTCATTTCATGACTTTATTGTGGACACAGGCAGTATAGAGTCCATTATTTCATTCAAGAATTTGAAATTGTTAGATCCGAACGTTGTGATACGACCCACTGAAGTATCAATATTGGGGATTACTGGACACAAACTGCCTATACGAGGATGTTGTGGATTGCTAATAAGAGATGATAATTCCTCATACATACCTTGTGAATTTTAGTTAGCGAAACAGGATTGTCAATACTGGGTTTAAAGAATTTGAAAAGGCTTAAAGTGGAGTTGTCTTTCCTAGTTTCTAAAGAAAATTCTGATGCTTTACTTAAAGATTTGATAGCCACGTGTGCTAAGTGCAGTGGAGGTATGAAAATCCAGCCTATAAAACTTCAAGTATAGGGTGAACCAGTCTTTCTCAAAAGACGAATAATTCCTTATGGTGTTCGAGATGCAGTGCATAAGACTTTGAATGATTTGTGTACGAAAAGTGTAATTGAACCTGTTCAGTCTTCAGCATGGGGTACTCCTATTGTTACGCCACTGAAATCGGATGACAAGACTCATAGAATATGTGGTGACTATAGACTAACATTGAACTCCCGTTTATTGAAGCAAACATGCACGACGGTAGAGGCTGAAGATTTCCTAAATCGACTTCATGGTTCTAAAGTGTTCTCGAAAGTTGACCTAAAAGATGCTTACCTTCAAATCCCTTTAGATCAATCCTCATCTATTTTGACGACAATTAATACTCCTTTTGGTCTGTTTAAATACAATTTCCTTCCATTTGGGCTAAGTTGTTCTCCAGCCATATTCCAGGAAGTTATGAATAAGGTGGTTAGTGATCTTGAAGGTGTTGAAGTTTATCAAGATGATCTGATTGTTCATGGTGCTGATAAGGGAGTTCATGACCAGAGACTTATTGCTTTATTGCGTCGTTTAATTGAGAAGAATATTACAGTAAATCCAAATAAGTGTTCATTTAGTGTATCTAGTTTTGAATGTCTTGGATACCTAGTTGATGGTAATGGTTTTAGACCAGATATGAAACGACTAGCTCCACTGACAAATGCACCGTCTCCAAAAAATCTTACGGAACTACGTTCACTAGTGGGTGCTCTTCAATACTATTCCCGTTTTATTCCTAATTTTTCTTGTCGTGCAAATTGTTTATCTAATATTTTGACATCCAATTCATTCAAATGGGGTGAGGAACAAGAGTCATGCTTACGTAGTCTACTAAAGTTTCTTCAAAGTGATGCTGTTTTTCGAACGTACTCCCCTAGTGTACAGTCTGTGCTTATCACTGATGCATCACCTGTGGGTATTGGCGCAGTTTTCAAACAGGAAGGTAGACCAGTTATTTGTGTTTCACGAAAACTTACTGTTACTGAACAAGGCTATTCACAGACTAAGCGAGAGGCATTAGCTGTGTCCTGGGCTGTTAAAAGACTTCATAAATATTTATTCGGAAAGAAATTCACTATTGTTACTGATCATGAGGCTTTACAGTTTATTTATCATCCTGAAAAATCCTTAGCACGTGCCTCAGCTGCCATGGTTCAACGATGGAGTATTGCTTTTAGTACCTATGACTATACGGTTCAGCACAGGAGTGCCAAACAAATTCAACATGTTGACTACATTTCTCGACAGTTATTACAAGATAAACCTGTTAATACTTCAGACTATTTTTTGGTGCAACCTTTACCAGTGAAACGTCCAGATCTCATTAGAGAAACTCGTAGAAACTTTGGATGTATAATTAATGCTATACGGAAAGGTTGGAATGCTAACCTGAAACGCAGATTCCCTATCTATTTTTCAAAGCGAGATGAGCTATCCACTACTCCTGATGGTATTTTGTGCTTAAATGATCGGGTTGTTATTCCTCCCTCATTGCGTAAAGCTGTCCTGGAAGATCTTCATAGTGGACATTTAGGTGTTGAGAAAATGAAGTCCTTGGCGAGGCTCACGTGTTGGTGGCCAGAGATAAATGCAGATATTTGTCGTACAGCAAACAATTGTGTAAAGTGTCATAAGCTGAAAAATCAGCATTCGAAGTGGACTCCATGGCCAGTATCGTCGGAAGCCTGGCAGAGAATTCATGCAGACTATTGTGGCCCGTTTCTTGGCAAATACTATGCACTTGTAGTCATTGATTCTTTTTCAAAGTGGCCTGAAGTTTTTTTCACAACTTCACCAAATTCTGACTTCACAATTCAAGCATTAAGAAAGGTGTTTAGTCGAGAAGGGGTTCCAATGGTGTTAGTGACTGATAACGGCTCTCATTTTGCTGCAGATGCAGTTACTACCTGGTTAAATGGTATAGGGTGCAAACATCTGTTTACTGCTCCCAGACATCCTTGTTCTAATGGTCAGGCAGAAAATTTTGTCAGGACGTTGAAAACTGCTATTGATTCTAATGCCGCCTCAACATTTAATGAGCTGGAGAGGGGAGTAGATACCTTTCTACTGCAATATAGAAATGCCAGACATTCAGTGACGAAAGAGACTCCATCAAAACTATTAAAAGGAAGAATTCTTCGGTCGAATATGAGATGTTTGGAGTCTGCAGAAGTTACATATTATCGTGGCAATGATCTTCGACCATCCACGGGGATTGTTCTGAAGAATGTCGGGAAATCTATGGTGCGACTTCTAGATATCAATGACTTAAGTACACACAATCGACATGTTGATCAAATACAATTCCAAGAACCAGGTGAGTCTGTTCCAATTTCGGTTGTTAATTCTAATACTAATGAGAGCATTCTAGATAATACAGAGCCTTTATCCAATACACTGTCGGACAGACACAGGATGAATTTGAGAAGAAGACGTACGATTGATTACAGACATATACATTCCAATTTAAGCTGTGGCGGATGTGGTGTTTGAATGAACTAGTAACTTCTTGTTGTTGTGGAATGCTTGATTTCGAATTCTAAATACAATACATTCGTTTGTGCATATCTTTAATTCTTGATACATATACTTCTAAATACTACACACAACCATATCTAAACGGAAGGATATTTAAGGTGATGAGTGTTTTGAAAATTTCGTTGGATTAAATTTAAAATAATAGGTAGATCAGCTGTCACAAATTAAAGATAAATACTGATTGTCACAATCAGGTGATAAACTATGGTCTGCATTTTTAGTAAAGTTAAGGTTCTTTTACAAAATTCGGCTGAAAAATGAACAAAAACTTTACAACCCTGGAATAAGTCATCAAAAAACGGAAAATAGTTGATGTCAACTTAGTGTCGAAAGACCGCAAACCAATGAGGTCTAGGATTGACAACAACAACGAATGGTTGTAAATAGAAGTAAATCAGTATCCATCTGTTTTAAAATATTTTATCTGGTTATTCCTCAGTATTATGTAAACATACGATGTAAAATCCTGTGCATCGTTTTATCGAACAAGTGCTTATTATATATACAACAGCTTATGCATTACGGTGTAGGGTAAGTGAAATGTCAAAGCATCCTGGCCAAATCATTCGCCTGGCCAGTCAGTGACTGAGCAGTACTATCGGTTAATAAGTAGGACACCACTTTTATCCAATCTGGAGGACAATGAGGTCTCAAGGTTGTCGTGGTCCATTATGAATCAGGTCATAGTTCGAAGCTTTTAAAATCCAACGAATCATTTAAAAACTCCACCAACTATGCAAAAGTGTTGTGGAGCATGATATTTTACTATGTACTGATCATATAAGCTGTTGAAAAGTGGTTTGTGTTTGCTAATTTTAATGACACAAGAAGCCTTGAAATGCAGTAAAACAGAGTCACCGATATTACAAGCCAGTAATAAGGGTATATTCGGGCAATTAATACCTCTGTAATCAAAATGTACTTCACAGTTAGTAATTAGTCATTCTATCTGCAGCTATACATAGCTTCTGATGATATGTTTTCAGTCATGCATGCGTGACTTGCGTTCAACTTGTCAGTGTAATTTTCATGATGAAAAGAGATCTTCACGACCAGGGAATTCCAGTCAAGAAGGACCCCAAACTAACTCTATGCGTAAGTTCAATCAACTGACCGAGTTCATTTTTATTAAATAAGAGAGATGTTGTCATTAATCATAATTATTATTGTAATCCCATAGTGCTATTGAAATATACCGTATCATGATTTATTCTAGCCAATTTAATGCGCCATATATATTTATTGGTTATCTCATCTTGTAGAATATCACATGGTTTCATTCAACTTAGCCCTTTTATTTTTATTATCGCAAAAATAAGTTGTACATCTGGCTTATTCAAAGTGATGCTGTTGAGTATTTAGATATTTTTTACTTATAGTTGCTTAACTGCAGTGCGATTATACGGATGATTGAATTCATTGTGTTTAAGTACCAATATTCTGCATAAAGAAAAGAGGTGTGTCGATTCTATATACCCCGAAAATGAGCAATTAATTGGATTTAATGGTACACCCAAAATTACCAGCACAGGAAAGAAGCAATCAGCCCTTAAACTATCAACCGAAGTAAATTAGTGTAGCACTTCTCGTCTAGACAGAAGGTACCTTTTGGTAATAGTACAGCTTGTAGAATAGCGTGAGTGGGCAGAGCTGGGATAAAGAGAAAAAAAGAGATGAGCCGACGACAGAAAAATTCCCCTAAGTTTAGTAGGAGTGACAATAAACAATAACCAGAGAATCTGGAAGATACCCTGAGAATTCCAAACAATCACGGTAAGTTCGGTGCGGCAACCAGCATGAAAAATTCCAACACAAAACGATGATATGACAAAAAGTAGATACATACACGTAAACAGAGAAAACACTGAAGAAAATAGTAGGTGCAAAATTTATGCAACAAATCAGCAATTAGAAAAAATGTTCATGGAGAAATTTCCTCCATAATCCCATAGAAACAGATGAAAGTGGACTTTACAGTTTTCCATTTAAGTTTATACCAAATGACAAATTTTAGCATTCTTCGTTATGTTGGTGATGAATTACAGTTGGCTGTATCCATTGACAATGAAAGCGTATCAACAATGGAGCTCCTCCGAAGCTTCATTGTGTTGGAAGGTTTCATGAAATATCTAAAAGACCTACTGTAGGTATTGTATCACCAACACTACTTAGATTTAAGCTTTCCCAATGGAAACTGTCGTGACTGGCTTCTTGGTGTAGTTTCGGACAATATGCTACAATCATGAAAGTAATTGAAATGAGAGCTAGGTTAATAGGCAGCTGGGATCGGTGATGTAGTCACTTCAACACGTTAGAATGTTCTGTGCCTCGAGGGCAGAGAGAGTCAAGGCACAAGCTGAATATCAAATAACTGGAACCGAATTGAAATAACAAGAATCTAGCGCAAAGAAATCAATTGGTTCATACTAGCTCGTGAAAAAGATAATGGATATATTAGATATTGGAAGTGGTTGTGCGGATTTTAAAGATTGCGTTACTGTTAATGAAATCAACAAGCAACTCGGGAGGTTATGTGTCGTTTGGCCTTCCAGAATCTGAAAATCTTCGAAAAGAAGGCGGAATTTTAAAGAAATTTATAAGTAGTCTGACTTCACTTCACACAGAGGATGTAAAAAAATACAGCGAGTTCTCTGAATCTTCGAGATCTCCTGCATCAAGTGGATATGTAAGTTAATTCTTATCTGGCCTAGTCTGTGTGTACAGTTAAAATTGTACTGTGACAGCGGCTTCGTTTCGCCAGTTTGAGCTTTATTTGCGTCGTTACATCACTGATAATGTGTTCGTAATATATATCCTCTGTACCTTTCGTGTTACATCCGTTTATAGTAGGATTGTCTAAATAAAGTAGTTAAATTATTGTTTGATAAAGTCAAGATTATACAGATTCTACCTACTTGGTAGACAAGTTTGTAGATTTTGTCACTAGAATAAACCAAAATATGTGGTTCTAATTGTGGCTGCTGTTTAACCGATCATAGTAAAGGAAAAACAATTCCAATCCAGTCAGTATAAAAATGTAGTAATTTCAGATGACTTGTGAATCTCAGGGTTGCTGAATGAATTCGGAATTTAAAGTATGGAACGGCGGCATAGTTATCCATCCATTTGGATGAAAAGTATTTCTAAGCAGATTCTTTTATGCTGGTAAATATAGTTTCTTCAGCCGTAATCACACTGTTTCAGCGTTGTTTGTATAAAGCAACCATAAGAATTAATATCAGCTTTAAACCCGAGCTTGTACCAGGTGCACCTCCATACTCGAATACTAAAAAATGACCATGGAAAGCAACCTCTTTCCTTTACAGTACATTATTATTAAATTTCCGTCAAAAATAGTACGCATACGACCTATGGTCAAGTTTTTAATTGTCAATATACTCTGTGGTCGAAACTGCTCTTTGAAATCACGTTGCCTCCTTGCTGAACTTTGGTTTTGCTGTTTTAACATAACCGAATTCTGGTGAAATTTGTGATATTCATCCCCTTTATTTATAATGCTTGGTTACTATAAACAATATCTTTTCTTCTTTCCCGGGAAAATATCTATTCCACGCCATCGTTTATTAAAGGTATTTAAATATGTACCAACTTTGGTACTGATTTATCTTATTTCTAAGCGAATGGCAGTGTATTATGCGAAGCATTTTGCGCCGCAAAGAAAATGACTTAAAATCCGGTACTAGGTGCGAGACTAATTAATAGGAGTACATTATCTAGTCTTCTGATATCGGCTTATTCTTGTGCCACTTAATCATGGTAGTAAAAAATAGTCATGAACATATTTGTACGATGAAGAATCTCTTTGGGTTTATTGGATTTGTGGATAGTTTTCGTCACGGGTCGTTACCATTTTGAGAACCAGCGCAAAATAGTGAACATAGGCCAGCAGTTTTATCGATGTCTGAACTCAGTAGTATGCACCTATGATCCTATGAAAAGTCAAACCCAGAATCTGTCCTTTCTTTTGGGTTTAGAAACATCCTGCTCAATTTTAATGTTGTGCTTCGATTATCTGCTTTTGCAGTTTCTCTTTTATTCCATCCATTGAGTGGTGTTTGGGTTTACTTATAAATGCATTTTAATTGAGAGGCAGTATGTCAACTGGAATATCCAGAATACTTTTGCACAGTTCATCAAATGAAATAAATTATTTACAAGTACTTTATATTGTATTTCAATTTTGATAGAAAAATGAAAATAATAAAGAGTCCCACAATAACCTCCCAGCATTGGATGAAAACATATCTAACGCAATATCTAGTTTCTCTTCACATAATCAATTACCTGAACCGATTCGGGTGCATGAAAGACGTTATTGGATGCAAGATGAAAACTGCAAATTTTGTTTTGAATGCGGCGCACGTTTCACTACAATTCGTCGTAAGCATCACTGTCGTGTTTGTGGAAGGATATTTTGTAATCAGTGCAGTAACCAGGTAAGTTCAAGACTGCAGATAATATTCCTGTTAAGTTATCTCACAACCAATTAAGCGATCTTTATTCCTCATCAGATACTTGGTTTAGGAACCTATCAATTTCACCATATTACAACTTTAGATTCCACTTCACCGACCGCGAAAGATAACTGATTATTAACACAAACCCTCTTTATGACTAATCTGCATGAACCTTTGATTCATAACTGAGTCGCAGCAGCTTTTTTAAGTACATTCGCTTTCTCAGCCTAGAGAGATATTTGTTACGTAAAAAGTAGATTTTCAAGTGTTATTTAGTACACCCGAACGTATCTGCTACCTTGACGTCGTGGTTGGGTCTGCCTATCGTGATGACCTATACGAGCTATACTTACTGGAAAAAAATATATATTTATGATCTAGCTACTCAATAATTATACAACTAGACTATGTACAACAATAATCTATAAACTGAGTTCTTAAGTTATTATTTACTTTCGTCTTCATCCCAATATAACCTACCCTCTTATCTTTTTTGTAGAAATCTGTTTATCTATATTTTTCTACTTCCGGCTGTTAACAGTGTCATCTATTTATCACAGGTCTCACTTTTTTTATTTCCTGATCAGTCAGTCAGCTGCAACGTAGAACTTCATACGTAAGTACATCAGTTCGTGTTGCCATACCACATTAGCGCAGATACGCAATTGTCAATTCGAATCAAATGGTGGTAGAGATACTGGAAGTACCTCTGGTAAAGGAGAAGATTAGGGTTCCAAGATATTATTGAGGAAGTACAATTCAGTGAGATAAGTTTAGAAAGACAAAGGAAGAAGCGTTGACGAATCCAGAAGATTAAGATTTGAGAGAACACAGAGTGGATGCATCTGCGTCATTGCAAACGATTTTGAGCCATGTCATTCAAGGTCTCTAACCATTGGTGACTTTCGTCTCGTGAACCCCAACCAGACAGCCTACATCTACCAACATGACTCAGTCCACTTGTCAGTGACTTCATGGATTTGTGCCATGTTTTGGTCTGGCCACCCCTAGCTTTCTTCCAACCTACTCCTATACCACAAAACATAGTTCGTGGCGGCAGTCGGTGGTTGGGCATTCGTAACACATGTCCAAACCACCTCAACTGATGAAGATTCAATACTTCATCTATTGCCCTGCCTTTCTTACCTAGTAATCTTTTACTAACGACGTCATTGCTTACTCGGTTGTCCCAGGATACACAAGCAATGCTTCTAAGACATCTATGATCGAAAACTAGTAACCTACGAATATCTACTGTTACCGGCCATGTTTCGCAACCATATAGGAAAACGGAGAAAGGTGCCGCGCAGTACACTCGTCCTTTAGTCAACAAACGGATATCTCGCCTACTCCACAAATGACATAAATTGGCAAAAGCCGATCGAGCCTTCTGTATCGGTGCTGAGATTTCGTCAGTCACCAGTCCATCGGCACTGACGAAACTCCCGTGGTAAGTGAAGCGGTCTACACGTTGGACTACTTCACTCCCTATCACTAGTTCAGGTGCCGATGAAACTCAATCCTGAAGCAACATTTTGAATTTCGAGGGTGAAAACCACTTAGGGTAGCTAGAAGACTGCGTTTTGTCAGTGTCTTCACAGAATAGAACTATGTCATTGGCGTATTCTAGGTCAGTATGCAATCCTCTTTGTAGAAGGTCTATCCCTAAAAAATCTGACGAGGATAATGTTAACTCCAAAAGCATTTCTATGACAAAGTTAAACAAGAATGGGGAAAGTGGATATCCCTAACGGACACCACTTGATGTAGAGAATTCCGATGACAGTTCGCCATTGACCCAACCTATAGTGTTCGAGTAGAGAGCTTGTATAAGGTTAATGTACTTCTCTTCTTCACCATTCAATGACCGACACTGCCACAGAACCTTACGAACCATAGGGTCAGATGCCGCCCTAGGGTCCAGGAAGACAACTATTATCGGACGCCTATGTGTCTGTGTTCCAGGACCTGTCGTAGAGTGAAAATGTGGTCTATACTGCCACGTCCAGATCGAAAACCAGCCTGGTTTTCTCGAGTCTGCTCTTCACGATCTCTAGTTAGGCGTCTAAGGATTATCGATGCTAACAATTTAAAAACTATATTAGTTAGACTTATTCCCCTGTGATTAGGAAACGGGTACTAGGTAAGAATGGCAGATCAATAGATGAAGTGGTGAAACTTCATCAGTTGAGGTGGTTGGGACACGTGTTGCGTATGCCTAACCACCGACTGCCTCGTCGAGCTTTGTTTTGTAGTGTAGGAATAGGTTGGAAGAAAGCTAGGGGTGGCCAGACCAAAACATGGCATAAATCCATGAAGTCATTGACGAGTGGACTTAGCCATGTCGGTAATTGTCGACTACCTGGTTGGGGTCCGCGAGATGATAATAATCGATGGCTAGAGACCTTGATTGACATGGCTCAAAATCGTTCGCAATGGCGCCAGTGCATTTATTCTTTGTGTTCTCTCAAATCCTAATCTTCTGGATTCTTCAACACCTCAAGTTTTTACTTTCTAAACTTATCTCATTGAATCATACTTCGTGAATAATATCTTCTAATCCTAACCTCTCCGATTACTTCTAATACCTTTACTACCTCTTCTACTATTGGATTTGAATTGACAATTATATCTCTGTGCTGATGTGGTATGGCGACATGAACTGATGTACTTACGTACGAAGTTCTACGTTGCAACTGACTGACTGACTGATTGTCACAAGAAGACTTTTATCGTTTCTCATGAACTGGGACAGTCAGCGATTGAGACCAGTCAGACGGTATTACGCCCAGTTCCCAAATTCTACCTAAGATCTCAGTCAACCTAGTTGCTAAAACTGGGACACCATCCTTAAAAATCTCAGGTGTCTCAGGACCTGCCACCCTCCCTCGTTTCAGATTTCCTGTAGCTTTGTCAAATTCATAAAGATTCGGACAACTTACATCGATATGCCATTCAGGATGACTGGAGATCGTGGGCAACTGAAGTATGGCTGAAGGCGATCCCTGAAGTGTTCTGCCAATCGGTCCAATCTCCTTGGGTTGAGAATGAATGATATAGCCATCCTTTTCTGAGACAGTCTCACTTACACTCGGATTCGTAATAGCTATTTCCTTTATAAGTCGGAACAAATGTCTGCTGTGACCTATCGCCGCTGCCTTTTTCATCTCTCTCGCTTTCGCCACCCACCACTGTTGTCGATCATTGCGTCGGCTTTTTATCAGCCTGCTCCTAAGCTGACATTGCTCTTTATCATGTTTAGAGCCCCGACCGTAGCTGCTACCCTGACGTGGTGGTCGGGCTTGCCTATCGTGATGAACCAACCGAGCTATACTGGCTGGAACACATGTTCCTGAAGGGTCGACCATGCCAGTCAGGTCGATTGGAGAACGATGAGACTAAAAGCAGCTACTCAAGGTCTGAGGACGAAGTCGTACTGCTGACTGCAGAGGGGTGTAACAGCAGTAAGGTGTTTCCCTCGTACAACCAGCATCTGCAGCGATGCTGCCTTCTCACAAGGAAGGAAGTGGTTAGAAAAGGTCGACCCTAAAAATGTCACACCTCACCCTACCTCATGGATTTCTGTCTCTGGCGGTAAGAGTGCCCATTAAGGGCTTTCAAGAGCGGAGCTAATACTCAAAAACCCTTTCATAAAAAGGCCGTGCGTGACCGGCCTCAAGCAGTTGTCCCTTGGTTTCTGCGGTCACGCAACCAGGTCTCTAAGACAAACTCTAATCCACCTTCCTTTTCAGGTTCCTCAAGAAACAACGTTCCATGGTGTGGGCAGCCGACCATCTAGTGCTTACATTTTTCTAATGGTGATTTAGCAATGATTGATTCATGATTCCAGTAAGAAACTGTTATGTTCGTCAATAGATACGCTTGAAGCTATTACGAGTTCATCTTAATTGATAGACGCGACCGAAACAATCACCAGCGTCCAGGTAGGCTACCTTGAATCCCAAGCTGTAAAACAGAAGTCTTGGTAAGCGTAGAAAGTATATTCTACAACATCCAGCAATCAGAATTCAATCAAGCACACGACTCTCGTTTATTTATACAGCATAGAAACGTCTTTGGCTCAGTTACAAAAATAGCACACTAAAATACACAGCAGCCAATCACAACCGTGTATTTTCCTGGTGGAGAATGAAATCTCAAGGTTAACTGATCAACCGATGCTGGCAAACGTGAAATCCAAAATAAGGTATTTATGAAGCGAGTTCTGGGGATTTAACATCCCCAACACACCTCCCCTTTTAATAGCGTGTGCTCCTGGGGTCGACTTGCAAGTTGACTGTCGTTCGCCGCTGTCTGAGAGGATACCTTCTAGAACGAAGAACAGCTTGGTGCCGAGTTTCTTTTCGTGGGGGGGGGGCTGCCGGTAGGTTGAAGGTATCAGGCAGGATGTCAAGGGGAAGGTTTTCTGCTCTTGATGGGCGATCTGGGGCTAGCCGTCTGCGTATCTGATTTCGACGACGTGATCACTTATCACCTCCTACCTCTACATCGTACATAACTCGTCCAACTCTTCTGACCACTCTCGCTTCTACCCAAAAACCATGGTTCGTTCTGTTGTCACGGGCAAACACAGGGCATCCCACATCGTAAGCGGATTGTCTTTGTCGGATGCATCATTCTGTGGATCGTTTTCAGTCTTCTTCCCATCAGGATTTCTGCTGGGGACTTTTTCTCCGGTAACAACTCATTTGGTTTTGTTCGATAGACGTACAGAAAATTTTGTAACGCATCGGCTGGTGTCCCCTCCTCTTTTGACTTAACCAATGCTCTTTTAAACGTATCCACAAACCTTTCCGCTTGCCCACTCGATTGCGGGTGGTATGGTGGCGAGCGTAGATGTTTAATGGCTAACCGTTGACAGAAAGTTTGGAATTGGGAAGAGGTAAATTGAGAGCCAGTGTCAGATACGACCATATCTGGTATGCCATTTCGCGAGAAAATCTCAGTTAGGAGCTGTA